AAAAAGGTCCTAATTCTATACCAAAGAATGAATCTACCACTATGATGAGGACTATTCATCTTCTAAACACTTTAAAGGATAAAATACATAATATCAAGCCTAATATGTGAGGAACCGGAAATATATTAATGCAGGTGTTTCTATAACTGGCAAACACTGTCCAAAGCTACCCAGTTCATATTCCAGTCCAGGTAAATCTCTGTTATCAGGTGTTTTGACCCACCGGAGAGCTGTCACAAGTAGATCACTTCAGCTGTGGGAATGCAAACAATGTAAAATGACTTTCCCTAGTGCCATTGTAAAAAATATGTTATTGAGAAAACAGACAAGGATAAACTTGTTAAGGAAGTAGATTTTCATCAATTTATGAAAACAGCAATACTAATCAGTGAACAGAGTACAAAAGCTGAACAAATACTTGGTATCACTTACTTCACGTATATTTGCTAAAGTGCCAGCTTGTTAGGGTCCAATCCAATGTACTGGGCCAGTCCTTCAGCCTCATTACTATACTAATGAGGCTGAGAATCTGGCACCAAAATAGCAGTAAGACACTTTGGACCTATTTATCACCGGTTTTATGTCAAATACCACCAGCAAAATCTGTGGTATTGCACAAAGAAAAGTGTAGTAAGGCAGCAATAAGTCAGGCATTTGGGGGAAAAACATGCAAGATCAGTAAAGAAGGTGCTGAACCTCCTCCCAGCATTAGCTCCCTAGAATTACATGGAGCAAACTGCACTCTGCTCCATGAGTGTGGGATACTGAAAATGTGTCATCTGAACATCTAGGTCCCAATTCTGTGAAAGGGCACAATTTGACTCTACAGCATTACTTCAGCAGTTTCATAGGCTTTAAGGCCAGAAAGGATGTCCTTATTTAAACCATCCTCCCATATAAATCCTAGATTTTCAGCCAGAAATTCATAAAACACATGAAAGTCTGGAAGAGCTAGACTGTGTTTTTGGGTATGTCCAAAAATATTTGAATGCAGAAGTGATCGTTATCTGAGATGATCAGACACCAGCCAGCTCTGGCTGGATTAGATGACATTTTACTGTAGTTAGCACAGCTCTGAACCTACCCTAGTTGGATCTGCTGAGAAGTCAGCTCATTTAGCTTTAGTCCTCTAAAAGTCAGACATCCAGAGAAAATCTTTTGTCATACATCCTCCATAAGCAGCAGAGGGTGCGCCGAAGTGGCCTTTTGTAGATGCAAAATTTACACCTTTGATGACAGAGGGCCTGACTGCACAGAGCCCAGATGTCTAATTTAGATGATGTGCCTCTCTTTCCTATGACTAGGGGGGTGAGATGACTTGTACCTCTTGTTCTGAAGCTAACCAGCTCTACTGCCTGGTGTAGATATGCTCAGGATGCCCTCCATTTTTGTAAGTGGAATATTAATTTCCCTCACTGTGTAATTCCTCTCTCCCCCATTCCTTTTTCCTAGCTAGAATTCTAATAAAAAGCTTTACAATTTATAATGCTAAATGTTTCTACCTGGAACTAAGTATATTTGAAACTGAAAGCTTTCCTCTATATCCAGATATATATGTAGATACTTGTGAATGCCTCAGGGAAGTACTTGAGTGCTACTCGGTGCTGTTCTGCTTACAATTATCTCTTAATCTATGGGAAAACATCTCTGCAGAGAAATTACATTTTGGGCAAAGGAACTCCCTTCTGAATGTATGTGAGCTTCAGGCCAGTACTTAATTAAATACATTACTTTTAAGTGCATCACTTAAGTGCATAAGCTTACACACATTTTAAAGTGTTCTGCAAAATCAGGGCCATGATGGATGACTACTTAATGCTATGAAGTGTATGAGGGAATTTATGCCCACGTTTCACTTAGAATACAGCAAGCTCTGAAGAACTGCATGCCAGTACCTGTATTTTTAAATATATAGTGACTGGTCAAAGAATGGAAAGCTTCCAGTTGAATATAAATTACACCATAATATTCTACACGTATTTGTTGCAGCTGCTCAAGCTGTACTGAAAGAATGTAAAATGTCAATTTATACCATAAATTATACCATATTATACCCAGTCTGTGCTTGGGGAAAAGAGGACCAAAACGCAGGGCTTTGCTGAGACTTCATAAATACAGTGTCCCACTCTTCAGATATTCTTGACAAGACCACAACCCCTGAAAGCTCTAAGCACCACTGATGGTGCTGCACTCATAAGCACCCGAGACCATGGATCTGAAGGGTCCATGGTCCCTTTCTGAAATTTTCCCCTTTTGAGGAAACAAGGAATGAATGGGAGACTAAATAGGGATGCATATCTATCTGTTCAGCCAGGTCCATGTATTGGGGCCACTTCCCATATTCCTCACTCTAAATAAGGAAGACCTACAGTAAGAGGAGAATAGGCTGTCCTTGTGATAAGATGACGGCTCTTTGTGGACTTGTAATTAATCTCTGGATGTCATTGCTCCACATTATCTCTGGCTAGTTAATTGGAGGTAAAAAATTTGGTTATGCTACTAGTAACAGGGTATGGGAGAACAGGAGCCCTGCTTTACCTTTCTTGTGCTTGTTGATAACCTGATTTTAGTGTCTGGGTGTGGGGAGGGAAAGTGGCAGAAGTTATGATAATAAATATAAACTTAAACCAGAACAGTTTCAGGATTTTTGTTTTTTTACAGTCTACGGTTAGATTGTATCATGGCAGGATGACAGCATGGTTGCCTTCACTGGATCATAGATAAAGATGTTTTTTTTCTTGTGAGGCAGTCTACCACCAAGCATTGATGGTGAGTTCTCATAGGGATGCGCACAGCTTCTCTATTCATTCTGCTTCCTCCAGGAATGGTAACCTCAAAAACTAGTAGGTGTTTTCAGTAGGTCTCGGTTCATATTTCAGCCAGTATTGACAATGTTGGAAATACCTGCTCTAGAAAGTTCACGTGCTTTCCCCCACCTGCCTTTATTGGCTCAAATTAGACTGGTGTAGCTTATTCATAAGAAAGCCTCCTTTAAGAACTAGTCAAAAATTAGCCAGAGTTTAAGTTTTCTTTCCTTCAGAGGATGCTGACATAATTATATGATTTTGTAGGAATATATTTATATTGTCATAATTATTTATAACAAAAAGTACTAGAGGATTTTTATATTTAATTTTATGTTTTGCATATAATTTTGAAGTCAAAATTAAAAGGCTTTTTCAGACTTTCAGACTTTTCAAACAAGACTTTTCCAGTATTTCTAGAGTGAATACCTTTCCCTTTACATTTCAGTTTCTCAGTCACTTCAAGAAAGAACGTTTTTTAGAATTTGAAGCATCAGGGTTTCCAGAAAAGTAGAAATTCTCAATTCGGACCAGCTCTGAATTCCCTTGAAACTAGCTCAGAACTCCCGCGGTTGTAGAGCTGCCACTTTCATTACTTTCATCTTCTGTGACCAGTATTAGTTCCCGAAGATCCAACAAGCCTGATCTGCTCCCACTTTTTATTCCTATGGAGTAGAAGTCCACACAAGGCATGAAAGAGAATAGCAATAGACAGATGAACCAGTTCCAGCCTTTTATGATTCCCTAAATGCTCTATTTTTGAGGTATTTGAAAAGATTGTCTCTCTTCACATCATCCTTTGTTGATTAAAATGAGTTGGTTTCTTACTCTCTCTCCTACCACTTTGCCTCAAAGTTTGCCAAGGCAGGAATTTCTTGGTGCAAGGAGCATCCCAGACTCCAGCAGAAGGAGCCATTTTTATCATCTGCTCTGATCTGCTATAGCCAAAGAAATGTCCCTAGTGCTTTTGAACCAAGGAAATTTATTCTAGGGGAGGAGAAGCATAGAAGCTATGTCCCACACTGCACTTACAGACTGAGGATGTACTGGGCCTAACGGCTGCACAAGGGAAAAAAAATTCTCAGGCTTGACTCCAAAAAGCTATTAAGAGCTAAAGAATAGCAGAAGGTAACTTAAAGTGCTACACTTCTCATTAATGTCAATAATATTATTCCATTTTACAGTAGGGATAAAAGCTATAACCACCTGTTAATTTTGCAGCCACAGAGAGTGGAAGTCTTACAAATCACATAAATGAATGGAGATGCTCTGTGATAAACAGTCACCATCTCAAGGAGGCTCTGGGGCCAGTGTGGTGGGTAACTTCACGTACCAGTCAGGAAGAGCAGGCGATGATGGAAGGCAGCTGGCAAGGGGGAAGGAGAGGGAAACCGGGGCTGGAAGGGAAGGAAAAGGGTGAAAGAAGAAATGACCCAGGGTGACGCGAATCCCCAGCGCGTTGGTTCAAAGCTCAGCTCTCTCTTTCACCAGCACCAGCTCCTCCCGCAGGAGGTGCACCGTTCCCGGAGGCACTGCAATACCGGGACGATGCGCGGAGCGGAGGGAGCAAGCTCCGGGTCCAACTCCCGCGCCCAAAAATCCGTTTAATATAAAGTCCTCTCATCGAGGACGTATCAGATATTAAACTGATAAGATTTTTTTTACAGTCTACGGTTAGATTGTATCATGGCAGGATGACAGCATGGTTGCCTTCACTGGATCATAGATAAAGATGTTTTTTTTCTTGTGAGGCAGTCTACCACCAAGCATTGATGGTGAGTTCTCATAGGGATGCGCACAGCTTCTCTATTCATTCTGCTTCCTCCAGGAATGGTAACCTCAAAAACTAGTAGGTGTTTTCAGTAGGTCTCGGTTCATATTTCAGCCAGTATTGACAATGTTGGAAATACCTGCTCTAGAAAGTTCACGTGCTTTCCCCCACCTGCCTTTATTGGCTCAAATTAGACTGGTGTAGCTTATTCATAAGAAAGCCTCCTTTAAGAACTAGTCAAAAATTAGCCAGAGTTTAAGTTTTCTTTCCTTCAGAGGATGCTGACATAATTATATGATTTTGTAGGAATATATTTATATTGTCATAATTATTTATAACAAAAAGTACTAGAGGATTTTTATATTTAATTTTATGTTTTGCATATAATTTTGAAGTCAAAATTAAAAGGCTTTTTCAGACTTTCAGACTTTTCAAACAAGACTTTTCCAGTATTTCTAGAGTGAATACCTTTCCCTTTACATTTCAGTTTCTCAGTCACTTCAAGAAAGAACGTTTTTTAGAATTTGAAGCATCAGGGTTTCCAGAAAAGTAGAAATTCTCAATTCGGACCAGCTCTGAATTCCCTTGAAACTAGCTCAGAACTCCCGCGGTTGTAGAGCTGCCACTTTCATTACTTTCATCTTCTGTGACCAGTATTAGTTCCCGAAGATCCAACAAGCCTGATCTGCTCCCACTTTTTATTCCTATGGAGTAGAAGTCCACACAAGGCATGAAAGAGAATAGCAATAGACAGATGAACCAGTTCCAGCCTTTTATGATTCCCTAAATGCTCTATTTTTGAGGTATTTGAAAAGATTGTCTCTCTTCACATCATCCTTTGTTGATTAAAATGAGTTGGTTTCTTACTCTCTCTCCTACCACTTTGCCTCAAAGTTTGCCAAGGCAGGAATTTCTTGGTGCAAGGAGCATCCCAGACTCCAGCAGAAGGAGCCATTTTTATCATCTGCTCTGATCTGCTATAGCCAAAGAAATGTCCCTAGTGCTTTTGAACCAAGGAAATTTATTCTAGGGGAGGAGAAGCATAGAAGCTATGTCCCACACTGCACTTACAGACTGAGGATGTACTGGGCCTAACGGCTGCACAAGGGAAAAAAAATTCTCAGGCTTGACTCCAAAAAGCTATTAAGAGCTAAAGAATAGCAGAAGGTAACTTAAAGTGCTACACTTCTCATTAATGTCAATAATATTATTCCATTTTACAGTAGGGATAAAAGCTATAACCACCTGTTAATTTTGCAGCCACAGAGAGTGGAAGTCTTACAAATCACATAAATGAATGGAGATGCTCTGTGATAAACAGTCACCATCTCAAGGAGGCTCTGGGGCCAGTGTGGTGGGTAACTTCACGTACCAGTCAGGAAGAGCAGGCGATGATGGAAGGCAGCTGGCAAGGGGGAAGGAGAGGGAACTCTGTTCTTCCCAGGTTAAATCAATGGATGCTAAAGAGAGTTTTGCCACTAACTTCAACAGAAACAGGACTTGGTCCCATGTAATGTTTGATCAACTTACATATTGTAAATTAAAAAAAAAAAATACAACAACAAAATGGTTCTTACATTGCCAAAGCCTCCCAAATATTTTTTCTCTGTTCAAAAATACATAGAAGTGTTGCTCTCCTATTTATTTTTACACAGGCTCCTCAATGTGGCAAAATCCAAGCCTTCCTATCAATCACAGATACTACACTTGATCTTAGCCAAAAGGCCGAGAAGCGATGAATTCTCTTAAAATAGTTCATTTAATTTCCGAAATTTCTAAGACATTCTCTGCAGGGCAAAATACAGCTTTGACTTCCTAGTGTCCACCTGAAAGCATTCTCTGCCCTTGGAGACATCATTAGTAGATCATAAGAAGGGCACTACAACGCCTCCAGAGTAAGATATTAAATGCTAAGTACATTTGATTAAAAAGTCTCAATGTCTTCAGGGGAGAAAACATACAATAGTAACTTGGAAAACGCAAAGGCCACATTACTTCTCCTGGGTCCATGCTTGGAGACAATCTATATTTCTAGTGCTTCTCCTGGAAGGGTGGGTAGCAGTCTCAGCCTTTGTCTTCAAAGAAAGTTTTAAATTAAGCTGAGAAAAGCAGTAAAGGTGGCCATGCATGGGACAAATGATAAAACTACTTGAAGAGAAATCCATCTGTCCATCAGAAAATGCAACACTGCACCTGATGGGAGTGCAACGCTGTTTGGAAACATGAGCAGGCTCCCAGGGAGGGAAGCGAGCCAACATCCCCATGGCTCACCGCCAGAATCCCGGAGGGTAGGGTGCTCAGGGGGTGAGAGAGGCAGAGCTGGGGTAGCAATGAGGGCAATCTAGGGGTCTGAGACAGCCCTCGCTAGTCTCAGCGACACTCTCCTCCTCACTGGTGGGAAGCGCACTGCAGTGGCAGTGCCAGGAAACGAGGGGAAAGCTCTGTGCTATGCACGGCTGAGCGCAAACCACTTTCCAGCACCCTTGAATCATTTCTCATCTCAGGCCTGCCAGCAAGCTGTGCTTCCTCATCCCCTGCCCTGCATCTTCTGCTATAAGTGAGATGCTGCAAATCCCTAAAGAGCAGGTGAGTCACAAAATGAAGCCATTAGCGCTCTCTTGAGATGTTTCACCTAAGCTGAACCAGCCTGGCATGCATTTTTGAAATACAGCCAAGCACTTCCGATCAAGCTATAATTGGACTTTTTTTCTTCAAGAAAAGTATGGATTTGGCCTTAGCAACAGCCACCTAAATAACTGCTTAAATCATTGCAGAAATATGCACCTCTCTCTTATGGGATGTGTGTATGATTCCTACGTCTTAATGTTCTTACAGATTAATATGGAAGTTTTTTACTCCAAGCATTACACTTTCCAAGCCTGTGTACTTTGTAATGAATTACTGCATCTCATCAAATGAAAATGAATGCACATTTTAACAAGATAAAGATATTATGTCTTAATATTTGCAAACATTACCTGATGCATAACTTTCATATGGCTTAACATGTTATTAACAGTACTTTAAACCTTATGTTCTTTTTTGAGCTAATGCGCATGTCTGAAAATAGCCCCTTTCAAATTAAGTTGCCGTAATGTTTTTTTAAAAGCAAATTTAAACTCAACTTGCTGCACTTAATTCGCTTATCCAAGTAAGTTGCATAGTTTAAACAAGTTCAGTTGTGCTTTGAGGCAGAACTCACAGTAATTACTCATCTCTTAAAAATATGATTTATGGATGTGAAGTTATGATACATTTAAGCATTTTTGTGATGTCTAGACATCAATGATATGAGTTTTTTTCACTCTTGCACTGACTTTTGCTGTTCATAATACCTCACCCTTACACTGATATTAGATCAGAGCATGGACGTTTAATGGACACACCTGAAAATTACAAAGAGAAATAAGAACTTGGGTTGGTTTGAGGTATCCAGCCCTCAGAAACATACTATGGTTTTTTGCATTAAGCTTTGTTGGTTTTGTCATGTGTTACATTGAGATTAAAAATAGAAGGCACAGGTGTTTCACAAGGCGCCGTATTTAAGTCAACCAACAAAACTAAATATTATATTACCAAGCCAGGGGTCTATATCTCAGCAGTGACTTCTTCCAATGCATTTTCGTTTGAGGAATTTATTGCTTCTGAAAAAGGGCCATGGTATGTCTGTGCTATGCAATTCATTCCTTGTGCCACACTGATGTCTCCGCACCGCTCTCCTCGACAAATGAAGGTAGGGCAGGATCTAGTCCGTGCATAGTTTTGCTGGGGTCCAGCTTGGCCCACCATCTCACTCACAGTGTTCACCGGCGAAGCCCTCCACCTCTGTCTCTGCAGTTGCTCTTCTTTATATTTAATGGAGTACCAGGCCAAAAAAATGAAAAAGAATCCTACAAACTTGAGACCAGCTGCCAATCCAAAGTAGACAAAACGAAATGAGGTGACATCGTATTCCCAGCAAGAGCCTTGTATGCCACAGTCCTGTTGCCAAAGCATGCATGTGGTATCAATAACAGCCCCAAAATAAATTGGAGTGGGAATGTAAGCTGAAATAAAAATAGCAACAGAAATAATACGTGTTAGCATACAGTGGAAGACTTCTAAAGAAACAACATGCCTTAGTCAAGCAGGTGCAGGTCAAGACGTTTTGAGAGGATTTCTACTCTACTGTTCTCTCACACAACCTGAAAAATGGAAGACTGGTCCACTGATCTTCCAGCAATGCTATTTATCCCCCACACAAAACATACCAACGACGTGAAAGAACTCAAACAACGAATACAATGCAACACCACCTTATAAAAATTAATGTCTCTATCTGGGGTCCCCAGCCACTTCTGCATGAACTGCATGTTCCCCCAAAGAAACTGCAGTGTTGCTCTCAGGAAATAAAATGAGGCAGAGGAACAAAATATGATGTTATCTCCAGGACACGACTTATTGAAGATTGTTACTTGTGAGCTGGGAAAGAATGGAGGCTGTTGCTATAGATTAAGGAGAAAATTAAAGCCCCAAAGAACATAAAATGTAGTTCTCTTACTGAAGATGGGTGGAAGAGATGGGAGAGCTATTATTTTAAATTGTTCTTTCTAAGAGATCTTCCTCATAATCAGACTTTACCTTTTAAGGCTGCAACAAATGTTGCCAGCCTATTAAATGCTCCTGCTTTCCCTGGAAATATGACACATTTAAGACAAGTCAAAAAAGGCCTTCCTCAAAGAAAGCTTCTTCCTTACTGACCAGATGCAACTATATGGGCTTTTCCTCTTGTTCTCGTTTATAATAATCATTGCGTGCCCCATTTTTTGTTGTGGCTGAACACCTGGAGTACTCCTTTATAGACTAGATTTTATAAGTTCAAAAGCTTGAAAGAAGTAACTGTGTAAAAAAGATTTTTAGTAAGCATTCTTTTTGCTTTGAAACATTTGAAATTAGATGTTAAGACACCATTGCTTCTTATTTTAGAAAAGTGAACAGCTACAGCTATGGCTGAAAGGAAAAAAAATCATATTTGTTTCTTTGAAAAAAATTATAAGATGATAATTAGTAACTAGATTAATATGTGCAATAGGTATGTAGGGTGAGCACTGGTACTACATCTTCTTTTCCAAGCAACCCTTGTTTCTGTCCTTGAATATGCAATACTATGTTCAGAAAAAGAACAAAACTAAAGATATACTTACGCATATTGTGCTGCTACGCACAATATCTAAAAGAACATTACTGTTCTTAATGCATTATCTGGATGGATCAGGAAATTATCAAACCTTTTTTTCATAAGAAAATGTTAATTTGGCAAAACCTGAATCTTTCAGGGGGAAAATGACTATTTTGACAAGTCTCTTTTTTAAAGAATTTTTAAATAAAATTTCAAAACTGTAAGAATTTCTTTCTGAGACACAAATGTTGTCCCAAAAAGTCAGTAATAAAAATTAAGATTAAATACAATCTCAGCTACAAAGTTTAGAAGCTACTAATGTTATGTTCCTAATGACGATTAGTGGCAGATTTATGGAATTTCAATACTTTTACAGCACATTTAAGCAAAATATGGTGAATCTTTTGGAAATACAGGGATTTATAAGAATATTCAGTAACTGCAAGACTTACCAAGAGTTCGTAATAAAACAAACTGCATTCCTAGTGCAAAGGGCCGCTCCCCATCTTCCACAGACCTAGCAAGCAAAAACAAAAGTCCTTTGGAGAAATAGTCATAACAGATAATAATTGGGTAAGTTTTAGCCTGTCCTTCTAGCTTTTTTCTGAGCTATAATAAATCTCTGTTTCTATTCCTCCCATTTAGCTTCTAATATTGTTAAGGCTTATTGCTAGGAAAAAATATAGTCAAACCTCCTGTCCCTGTTTAATCAAAATCTCAGTCCTGTTTTTGAATTTTTTTTTGCCTATGTAAGGTCTGAAAAATTTGATCCAAAAATATTATGGAAATTGGAGAATAGACCTAAAATGTTCATGGTTTCTCCTAATAACTTCCTATTTTTGATGTAATCTTGTGCTTTATTTTCTTAATATTTCAGAGTAGTGATCCTACTCTAAATGTAGAATTAAGTTTCTAAGAACTGGAATCTATCTCTGAATTTAACAGATCTCTGCTTAGTATAAGCACTTCAGAATTATATTAGGAAATATACCAGCGATTTACTAAAATTGTTTGTAATTCCATTGTGGAATATTACTAGTTTGTACCCAGTCCTTTGAAAGCCTGACATTTTTCCCCTTGAAGCTAATGGAAAGCATCTCCATTACCTCAGCTGAAAAGGGAGAGGGTTTCGAGAGACCACTTGGATGCTTATTATTTCAAGCAGGCATCAGTAGTGACATCAGATTATGAGACAATGAACACATGAACAGATTACATTCAAAGACTATAAGGTCAAGATTGCAGAGTTAAGCACTCACTCAGAAATTGAGAAATCAGAGAAATAATTTTGGCCATAAAACTTGGGCAGATGCACTGTACATGATATGGGACAGCTAGCGTCACTGTTCAAGTGTGTGGCCCATTTTCTTCTTCGCTGAACACTGAAAAATCCTCCTCTGAAAATTTTCCAGACGGACCTTGCTATTGTAAGGTTCGTTTCAGTATTAATGTCCATCATTTGAAATTTACTTTTTTATAATTACCCTGTGCAATGACAATGTTTTATTATTATCCTCATTTTACAGGTGGAAATTTCAGAGATGGAAGGAATAAGGTCAAAGGTATTCAAATGATAAAGGCACCGCGCACACAGTACTTGAATTAAGGTTGCATGAGCAATTGGAAGTCTGGTTTCCTACTTTTGAGTACTGGCTGCACAATATTAATAGTGACTCTTTTGCAGTTTCCACCTGTGTGTTTTATTTTGTGGGTTTTTAGAAAACGAATTCCATCATATGACATGACACAGGCTTCCAGGGCATCATCAGCAAGCTTGCAACATTTAGATCTTCTGCACAAATCTCAGTCACTTGAGCTGAGAAAATGATGGTGAGAGAAGACTAGCCCTTGCTGAAGATGAGCACTAGAAGGGGATGAGACACAGATGCGTGCCAGTGGGTTTCAAGTACTTGCTGTTGGTGAAGGCTGACAAGATCTCAGGTGGGGCCATACTACCTAGTTCCAGCACAAAAAGAGAGTGCATGCCAAAGAGCCTAAGGAGATATAGCAAGGTTCTGAGCTGTCTCATGTTTTCTAAAGGCTCCATGACCTGTTTCAAAGGTTTGTCATTATTATTTCTATAGGTGGCTAATTGTCAGCCGCAGCAGAATGCCAGTAATCTCAGAATATCAGAATGAAGATATAAAGGTGACACTACATGGAGAGAATTGCACTTTGTTGGGAGGACCCCTTCTTTTCACAGAAAGAAAAGGTCTTAAGCTGGTTGAAAAAAACGCATATGGAGACATATTTTACATGACCCAGCCCAAAATATATGTCTACATTAGCAAGTAATGCAGATTAGAGAAGCAGATCTGTAGAGCAAAAGAGCTTGTGCTGAGGACCTGATGCCTACGCTACAAGCATTGCAGGCTTTGTGGGTCTTTTTCAATTCAGATAAGCTCTATTCGGGTGCCAACGACTGAACACCCATTTGTGGCTGGACCATTTCAGGCATGCTTTTGAAGAGCATCTTCCAGTATATCTACGTCTGCATCACAGCGTAAAACAAAGCGCAGGAAGGAGGGATGTTCAGGAGATTTGTTTCAAAAGTATACTCTTGATCCAAACCAAAGCACTAATGTAGATGCAGCCCGTGTAAATGAACATCAGCTGAGCCATGCTAATGGGATATATGTGTGTGCCTGACCCACTACCATTTCAGATAAAGCATGTTAATTCTATTCAGAGCCAAGAGCATGCATACACAACAGATACAACCCAAAAGATCAGCAGTAACTCAGTAACTGCAATAGTTTAGTTTTGTAACTTCAGTGTTAGGAGGTAGGGCCATGGACGGTAGCAGGAAAGGAAAGCAGGGAAGCTTCATTTAGTCTTATCTTTTAAAAATATCCTCTAGAAGCCCTTGAATAAGGGTATAAATTTAGCAGAACCTTGATTTCATGCATATATTTACTGTAATAGTTTTTAACTTCTGTAGCAGTAACATATGCATGATACAACTTTATATTCTAAATTGAATCAACACCTTTGAAACATTCCCTTTGTCTTTCTGTTACCAGTAGAAGTGACACCTATGGATGTGCTTTGTAAATACTGGTGAATAATTGAGTTCTTTTTACTGCATTTTCCTCTTCTTTTTTTTTTTTTCTTTTAAAAACAGCAATATACATTATTCAAATATAGATTTATTATTATAGTTGACCATATTATGTTTTCTCAGCTTGATTTTCTTTAAAATTTGGACTGAAGGCCACTTGCAGAGGTTGTATTTTGGATGGACACAGATGTTACAGGGAGTAACAAGTTTTATCAGACCAGATGGCAGAAATGGGAAGAGTCAATCCAAAAATCTGTCTGCTTTTTTTTAGCTAGGTAAATAAAAGACACAGTCTTTCCC